GCATTATATTTTCTCTCTATTGGTAGATTATATTTTACACATAAGATTTAAATCACATGAAGACCTATTAAAAAACGATTCGGAGAATGACAAATAAAAATGTAAACGAAAATACATGGCGAGAAACTCGTAACAAAAGTTGAGGGACAAAAAAAAATAAGAAAGATACGTTGATGAAGTAAATAAACTGTAATAAAGTAATATGAACACTAAGACCGAGATATTTTAGAAAACAGAAATACTGACCAACTTATAGTGTTACAGACACCACAAACAACAATTACATATATACAGAGATATACAAACGTTGGTACAATAATTGTGCAAAAAATTTCAAGTTTCCAAAGACACGTGCCCATAAATTTTTTTTTCTTTCCAGCGACACAATAAAGTGCACATTACGCAAATCAGTCGTCTAAGAAAAATAGCAACCGCGTTAGGAGGAAAAATATTCCACCGGCTGGTGTTTAAAAAGTGGCCCTAAAAAATAGCGCTAATAAATCTCGCTCTAAAGAAAGCGTTACGCATATCTGCATGTACGAAGAAATGGAGCGGGGGGGTTGCACGTGACAGGTGTGCGAAAGCACCTGCTTATAAAACGAAGGGGTAAGACGGTAAGGGAACGGAAGAAGAAAATCTCGGGACTGTAGATAAAAGCATCCCACGCAGTAATCGTGCACGATGAACTCGTAAAAGGTGAAATTGAGGTTGGCGCTTGAATGCGCCTTATCGTCTGCCAATTGAGGTGTAATTATTACTTGCTCTTTGCGCTGTCTAAATACGTTTCTTACGAATAAATACTTATACTTATTTACCTGTCCTGATTTTTTGCATACACGTTACAGTAAAATTTACATAAGAATAAAAATATTGATAGTTATTTTAAGGAACATTTGTTAGAGAACGTTTGTTTTATGCAGCGAGTAAAGAAAAAGTTTCGATAAGTGGCTGTATGCAGAAGAGGCCGCAACACACACTTGATTTATATACGCAATACTTTTCCCATAGATCTTGGAAAAGCCAACCACGGGACCATGTTTTCTACTTGATTATCATCGATTCTTCGTAGGTTTACCATTTTTTATCTCCGCATTCAACATTAATATCTCTTTTAATTTAGTATCTTTGTGAATATAATCCACCTTATTTGTTTATTTGTTTATTTATTTATTTATGTTACTTCTAGAGTTCTAATAATTTAAACTTGACACGTAATTGACATATCCGTAGGTTATTATAAGACACCCCTATTATTTCATTGCTATGATTATATGTGTGATTGTACATGTATTCGGTGTATGTTATTTTATTGAGTTCACGATTCGTAATTAAATGACTGCATGAGGTATATGTAGCCATTCGTAAATGTGTAGTGGCATTGAAATTAATGTTAACGATACGTCCATATGTTAACGCTTGCTTTATAATAAGTAGCTATAAAAACATGGTAAAGAGCAAATAATTTTTTCAACAACATAAAACACGCATCAAAGCCTCAAAGCTTGCAACAAAGCTGATAGCTTTCGAAAAAAAAATCTCGTTCGCGGCCACGCACGTTTGCCTTTGAAATGAAAATACACAGCCGTGGCTGTCATAAAGAACAATGAAAATGAAATATGTGTGGCACAGTAGCAGTGCAGTATCATGCAGGCAAAGCTTGCGCGTGTTTAATTAATTTTTTTTTTTTTTTCACAAATTATCTGTAAAAGGAAATTTCCTGTGATTTGATATTTTCAAACCAAGTTTTATCAATTAACAAATAACATTTACATGAGATTTTCATGCAGCCTCCTAGAAAAAACAATAATTTACGAGGTGATATCAAAACGACTAAAATATGATACTCTATGAGAACGATGCATAAATAAAATTTAAAAAGTTTTACTGTTGCGTAAATCAAGTGATTGTTTTCATAATTGAGAAACAATAGATGAAATTCAAGTGGATCTTAGAGTCACTGTATAAATAACCTTTTAGATCGTTGGTGGACGTCAATGTAATGTTGGAATTTTTGAAAGTGATATACATATACGTGCAAATAAATATCGTGACCTGATTGCGAATTAAAAAAATGGCCAAAAGAGGGAAATCGTTAATGTACTTGTACAATAGTACACATAATAATAAAGAAAAAAAAAAAAAAAAAAAAACCCTTGTCGAAAAATAAAAAAAAAAAAAAAAAAAAAAAAAAAAAAAAACA